GGCAATTCAGATTCAGCTCTAAATAATTCAAATTCAGTTTCTACTGACACAAATATCAGCCCATACACATCTATCTTCCTGTCCTCATCACTGGTTTACATGGCACAGTGTATTTTTCTTGGGGATGAATGTAAAGTAGGTTGAGAGGTTTGTGCTCACAGGCTGTGGTCAGAAAAGGTTACAGAAAGGAGAGAACAGCACGGGGCAACACTGAAGTATCACAAAACTAGCTGGATCAAAAGCTTTTATTTTTATTCTATTCCAGACAGTAGACACCAATACTAAACAAATAATTATTTAGAATATGGCATGTGTTTATACTGGAAGAGTGATCAAAATAAGTATACTCAAGTATGCATATAAATCTGCTTAATTGTCCAAGTGTGATGCTAATGATCATTATTGTGTCAGTGTTGACAAAGAAATATGATTAGCTTTTTACAGCTGCCAAAAATGAAAACTAATTGTGGTTGGAATAAAAATGGATGCAGGAAAACTTCAGATACATTAAATACAGTAGCAGTAGTATAGTGGTATGGCATTGAAAGACAGGTATTGTTAGGCCAGGAGGTACTTCCTCTAATATCGACTATATTGCCCAAATCGCCCCCTAACTTCTCTGAGTTTGTCATAGTAGGCCAACATATAAAAGTCCTTGATCCTATAACTACAGTCAGTCACAGTGTTTTTAGATAGTTAGAGTTAAAGGCTAACATCAACATGCTAACATACACAATGACAATCCTAACATGTTGATGGTAAGCAGATTTAAAGTGAACCATATTCACCATCATAGTTTAGTGTGTTTGCATGCTAACATTTGCTAATTAGCACAAAGTAGAAATGATTCTGATGGGAATGTCATTAGTTTTGCAGATATTATGTAAAAAAAACTCTTGACTTGATAATGGCACTGGATTACCAAATGAGGGGGGCATGAATGTGTGTACCAAATTTCTTGGCAATGCATTAGATAGTTGTATATTTCACTCAAAACCTAAAAATGCCAACCTACAGGAAAGGTCAAGGGATCAACAAAGTCATTTTGGATTCATCGTCTGGGAACCATAAATGTCTGTACCAAATTTGGTGCCATTTCATCTAGAGATATTTCAGAAGATAAATGAAAACTCTTGTGGTGTTTAAGGAAAAGTAAGCAGATCACCAGTGTGTCTAGAATGTATCTTTTGGGGACCATGAATGTTTCTACCAAACAGATTTTGGGATACTTTAGTCAGGATCAAACTGGTGAACAAGAGCCAGGCAGCTAGCATGGCAAAAAAATAAAAATATTTTTCAATGATGGTAGTGGTGAAGGTCGCTAAAATGTCAATAATGGGTGAACTGTAGTAATGACGCAGAAAGTTGTAATTCCCAAAAATAACCTAAGAAGAGTGCTATTATTTCTCAAGATCTTGCTCAAGTATTTTCTAGTGTTTCACCTTAACAACAAATTTCCTGTACTGGATACATGATGATTGAAGCAATAAAGAGCACCATCTTTCCATGATTTCTCATTTATATTGAAAGAAAGATTCGCCAGTTCATTGTTTCAAGTTAATCCATTCTGCTGCAATCACCACACCACAGATGTATTTTAAGCTCATGACTGGGCCTGTGGTTTCGATGTGTCAGTTTGAAGTACAGCATTAATGATCTGTCATAACTCTGCTGTACAGCTCTTAAGACAATTTGTGTTCGACTGGTGTTGTAAGCACTATCGATCGTCCATCTTCCTTTCTCCCTGAAGATGAAGTACTCTGTGTGGGTGGCTGTGTGTGGATGTAAGGATTGGGATGGATTACCTCTACAAGATCAGATTTTTCCCTGAAATGAAGCACAACAGTGTTAAGCTGCAGTGTATGTGAGTGTCATGCCAACCTCCAGAGTTAATGGGACTGTTCTAATCTCGACTGGACAGGTGTCAAAAGATCCATCTGTCCTGACATAGACAAGTGTTGGTGTGCACAACCAAGAGCCCAGGCTCATTCCAAATTGACAATCAATGGAAGCAATTTTTTTGAGGGTCATTCACCAAGCTACACTATAATACAATATAATACATATGATCCATGCAACTGGCTGCTCTATTTTTTCACACCCTGACAAAGGCGGTAGGGTTTAAGCCATGCTTTAGTAAAGGCTTTTCACTTTATCTAGTACCCGTAGATTACAAAGAGACTTTACTAAGCAACCCTGTCTCCTAAAAACAGGGTAATTGCAGTCTTAAAAAGCATTTAATTTAGTTTCCTTAAAAAAAATTATTAAAAAAAGACCATAGAAGGTATTAAAGGTCGACCGTGTAACATTTTGGAGGATCTATTCACAGAAATGGAATATAATATTCATAGGTGTATAAATATCTGAATATAGGAAACTTTAAGTTTGCGTTACCTTATGAATGAGCCGTGTTACATACAAAGCAAAAAGACACGATCGCTCTAATTCTCCTCTTCTGATTGGTTTTCTGTGTTTCTTCTTCACCTTTTGTTTTTTACTAAATTAGTTTCTCTCTTCTTAGGTCACTCAGTGTCTGTCAGGCATGCAACTTGCTGAGGTTTGTTGTTTTGGTGGGGCTCATTCTGGCTTCAAGCTAACTAATGGGTAGTCGTTTACTGGATTAATGAAGAAACATAAATCTAGTGCTCTAGCCCCAAGACTGCTTTGGTTTGCTGCAATCTAACTCAATATCCATTTTATGCATTAAAAAACTCATTAGCATGTGAATTTCATTACTTTTG